CTCCAATCTTTAGGCTCCAGCTCACAGCCGGCTTCTTCCAACGTTGTCTCCTTGCTCTAAAGGGACATGATAGCTCCTGCTTTCTGGGCTCGATACATTCAGATGCCCCAACCTTCTTATCTCACATCCCCTCTCCCCACCTCAACTGCCTGCAGCTCCATATTCTCATCCCCTCCCACATCTGACACATCGACCACACTATGAGCTCTGTCCTCAAAGTCTATCCTGAATCTACCCACATCTCCTCCCTCCTCATCCTCCATCCACCTGTACCCAGCCCCCACAATTGCTCACCTAGTCCCCCAGCTATCCTCCTGGACCCAACTGTCCTCCCCATAACATCCATTAGAGGGCGCCTGTGAGTGCCTGAGTAGGTCTGTTTCACTGAGAATAATACCCTCAAGGTTCAATTTTGCAGCATGTATCAGAACTTCCTTTTAATGGCTCAATATTATTCCATTGTATCGATGGGCCATGATTTATCTGTTTATTTTCTAATACATTCCCTGTCCTGGGTACTGAAGGCACAGTGACTCCTTTAGGATACTCACAGTCCCGTTGGGAGATCGAGGTCATAACGGGGAACACAGCAGGTGTTTATGGGACCCAGAGGAGAGATCTATCCGGCCAGGAGGGGAGGAGGGAAGACCTCCTGGAGGGGTGACGTCTGCATTGAGAGTAGAACTGGAGCAAACCAGGAAGGGGGGTGGGGAGTAGGGTGGAGGGAAGACTATCTGGCAGAGGGACCAGCATGAGCAAACGCCAGCAGTGAGTCTAAGCTCCAAGGAACTATGTATGCAGGGCCTGCCAGAGGGCAGAGGAGACAGTGAACAGGCTGGCCCGGCTGCATCAGCAGGTGTGGAAGGTTGCTCACAGGTGTTCCCTAGATGCTTAAATAAGGCCAGATCCAACAACCCAAATCCTCCACCTCTGATGACCACTTCTCCCACCCCCACAGATTGACCTTGTGCGGTGTGGGGTGACCCCCACTGCCCCAGCCCGCCCTGGGAAAGTGCACGACCTGTGGGGGGACTGGAACTTCGGTGCCCTGCAGAATGGCCGCCGCCGCAGCCAGGTAGGATGGTGGGGGTGTAGGAGGTGGTTCTGGATCTGCCCAGGGTTGCCAGGGTCTTGAGCTGCCTCTAACCAGCTGGTGAGGTCAGCTGGTTGGAGTGTCCATGGAGGAAACTGAGGCAAGGAAAGTCTTATGGTGGGTCCTTTAGGGAAACCTTCCCCTGATTCCCACTTTTGGGAAGGCAGGGCTGTCTTGTGTCCATGGGGGAAACAGAGGCAGGCAGATAATCCCACTGTGTTCGTGGGGAAACTGAGGCAGGGCTGTGGTCTCAGCAAGTGTCCCTCCCGGACACTGAGGCCCCGCCCTTCTCCGCCCCTCCCCGCAGGCGGAGCTGGAAACGCTGGTACTGTCCCGAAGTCTTATGCAGGAGCTACAGGGCTCAGTGGACGCACTGGAGACCAGCGTGCGGGGCCTGCCCCGGGGCGCCCAGGATAAGGTGACCGAGGTCCGGCGCAACGTGGATGCCCTGCAGGCCGCCTTCGCCGATGCACGCTGCTTCGGGGACGTGCCCGCGGCGGCATTGGCTGAGGGACGGGGCAGAGTGGCTCGGGCCCACGCCTGCGTGGACGAGCTGCTAGAGCTGGTGGTGCAGGCCGTGCCACTGCCCTGGCTCGTGGGGCCCTTCTCGCCCATTCTCCTAGAGCGGTCGGCGCCCCCACCAGACCTGGAAAACCTAGTGGACGAGGTTGTGGGGAGCCCTGATCCTCGCTGGGCACACCTGGACTGGCCGGCGCAGCAGAGAGCCTGGCAGGCCCAGCACCGGGACGGGACGGGTTTCCCGGAGGACATTCCAGAGGAGGAGCCTGAGCCCCCCAGCAACCCCAAGCACACCCTGATGCCAGAGCTGGACTTCTGACCGGACTGGGCCTTGCAGCCAGAGGCAGAAGGCTGACTTCACCTCCTTATCCTGCTGCCCCCTAGTGGCCATGCAGAAGCACTAACACCGAATGTCAACCTTGGCCCAGGCACGGATTTGGGGGTTCCGGTGGAATTCTGAATCTAGGCCAGCTTCACTGATATCAGATCCTCCCCAGTATGTCCCTTGGACATATAGGGACATGAACCTAATCCAGGTCTGACTAGTCCTCAGCTGGGTTCATCTGTCTGTGGTCACCTGTTCCCTCACCCCAAGAAGCCGATCAAATTTTGGAGAAACACACAATTTGCCCAATGGCTTCTATTTGGGGCTTTGAAAAAGGAGCACTCCCCTGCTCCCCAAGCTTGCACATCTTGGACTGAGGGGCCCCCAGGACTGAGCTGCACCAGCCGGGCCTGCCAGACCCACTTGCTTTGCTGTTTGGGGTATGCTCTCCAGAATAAAGGTGCCTTGTGCTGCCCAAAGGCCCATGGCCTCTGTTCTGACCGGGGATGGTCTCAGGTGCAGGGTGCTGGGGGCCCAGGGCTGTGTGACCACATGGCACAAGCCAGGGATGGAGATTTGAAAGGAGTGATGCCCGCCCCCACCAGCTTGACATCCTGTCTGTAGTTCTACCTTCAGTGCCCAGCCCGCTTGGGTTAAGCATTGCCCCTTCAGCTGTGCTTCCTGGAGTGCAAGTTCACACTTTGGTATAAATGAATGTCTTGGAAACTATAGGGGGCAGGATCTAGGAGAAAGAAGTTAGATGGGCCAGCCACTCCCTTGGCCCACCTCCCTGGACCCCCAGGAGCTGGTCTTGCTGTGGTTTCTCCACTGGTCAGAACTGGGGAGACACAGGCAGAGCAAGGGCCACAGGACAGTCTCATGGGGGCCCTTCCATGCCCTGACCACATTCTTGCCTGCCCCTCAGACTCCCTGGAGGCCAGGCAGGGTTTTGGGAAACCACAGTCTGATTCGATGAGGTCAGGATGGCCCCAGGCTTCCTTGGGACTCAGCCCTGCCTGCTTTCCACCAGCCAGACTCACTTCCCTGCCCCGGTTCAGGAACCTCTCCGGCCCCCCCATTGCCTGGGGGTTGAGTCCGAGCCTTGCCCACAGGTGGGTGGGCAAGCAATGTCCCCTCTCTGAACCCATTTTCTCCTCTACAAAATGGGTAAGTCATGCCCAATGCTAGCAAATGCCTCACCCACAGAAACCATTATTCACTCAATTTATCCAACAAATATTCATAGAGCACGTGCTGTGTGCCAGGCAGAGAACAAAATGGATAAAAATCCTACCCTCTATGACCTAACAATACAGTAGGAGAAAAATAATAAAATAAGTAAATTACTTCTCTTAGTGTTAGAATGATGAGAAAAATAAAAGGGAAGGACAATGGGAAGTGTGGGGGGGAATTGAAGAAGAGATGCATATTTTTAAATAGAAGGGGGCCAGGAAGGCCTCTCTGAGGAGGTGACATATGAGCAAAGACTGAAGAACATGCCAGGCGGGGGGCACAGCCTATGCAAAGGCCCTGGGGCTGGACCTGGCTTGGCCTGTTGGAGAAAGAGCAGAGAGGCCTGTGTGGCTGCAGCAGAGACACAGAAAGGGAGTACGTGAGGACAGTGAGGGGACAGGAGCAGGTCACCAGGGCCTATGGGCCACGGGGAGAACTTGGGCCTTTACCCCGAGAGAGGTGGGAGCCCTAGAGGGCTGTGGGCAGGGGGGGACAAGACCTGACTTGGTGTTTAAGGTCATTTTTGTTATTATTGCTGGGTTCTCCTTTCCCTCGGGGTGCATGGCAGCCCTGAGGGGAGGAGCACTCCCAGGGTCCGCCCAACTCACTGTCACCTTTAGGAAGTGTTGACTGGAGAGAGGTTAGGGGATCCCCATTTTCTTCCTTGACTGTTTGACAAACAGTGACAGCTCCAAGAAGACAACCTGGGAGTCATCAGGCCCAGACACAGGGCCCTCCCTTCTCCCAGCTCAGAGCCCAGAGCCACCAGGGGGTCTCTCCACAGCTCCCACGGGCACATGACTGGTATGCCTGCTTTGGGGGCAGGCAGGAGGGAAATTGCCCAGGGAGGGCATGGCAGTCACTTCTCTAGTTACCTGTGCACCTATCCACAGCCTGGTCACTCTGCACACAGGCTCAGGGTCTGATCTGAATGTCCTCTCTGCCACTTCCTGGCTCTGTGGCCTCAGGCACAAAAAAGCCTCCTCCAGGAAGCCACCTTGGATTAGCCTGAGTTTACCAGGCCTAGTTCTCACTCTTTGGGTGGCCCCAGCTCTGTCAGTGCTCTCTCTTGGTCTACACATTGGCCCCTTTCTCTGTCTTCCAGAGAGAGCAACATATCCCCTCCCTGCTGAGGACAGCTGCTGCCTCTCTCTGCCTGGACAATGCTAAGCTAATGTCTGTCAAGCACCTGCTGGGTACAGGGATAAACAAGTTGTGATCTCTTTTCACACTCACAACCAAACATTTATTAAGTGAGTTGGCCCATTTAACCAAACATTTATTAAGTGCCAACTGTGTGCCAGGTATTGTCCTACTTCAGGGAACACAGGGAGGGTGGGTGTTGTGTGGGTGTCTGGGGAGGAGTGCTGTAGGAAGAAAGGAAAGCTCATGCAAAGGCCCTGGGGCAGGACCTGGCCTGGAGATCTGGAAGACCAGCAAGAAGGCCCCAGTGTGTGGGGTCCAGTGTGGCTGGAGTAATCGAAGGGGAAGACAGCCAGGGGAGATGAGAGCAGAAGGGACACAGCGCACTGTGAGCCACAGTGAGAAGGCCAAAGGGGAAACTGAGGCCAAGGCATCCCAGTGGAGCTGACATTTGAACCATGCCCACTTCATGCATGATAAGAACAGGCCAAAAGTGCATATAGGCCACGTCTCAGGGACACAGGATGACCTGTGACTCACTCAGCTTGGTGGGGGTGGTGCTGTGAGCAGAGGTGGCCCAGTACTGAGAGAAGGGGAAAGGTGCGGGCCCAGGGCCCATGCTGGGCTGGGCAAGCAGACACGTGACTGTCCAGGGCCCTCCCCCAGCCCGCTGGCTGCCTGCCTCTGCCGGCCAGGCCTGTGCCTGCCCCGGACCCTATAAGGCCTGGGAGCAGAAAGCAGAGCCAGCTGCCAGCTGCGCCACCAGTCACTCCAAAGGACCCTCACACGGTCTAGGTGAGCAATGCCAGGGTGAGGCCAGGTCTCCAGGTGGGTGTCTGGGAATGCCTGGGGGTGTGGGTGTGGGGCAGGAGACCTGGGAGCCCCGATTTACAAACCCTCTCTGCCCCCTTCCAGCTGCTTATAGTATTAACATGTCTGCTCAAGGGGAAGGAGGCCGAGAGCCCAAACCCAAGGGCAAGGTAAGGGGAGGCACAGGAGCGGGAGGTGCCCCAGAACCCTTGGGAGGTGACCTCCGCAGTCCTCAGGTTTGGGAAGGGCTTCCTGGGTGGCTCTTCCCTCCTGTCCCAAGCTGGGGGTGGGGGGTGGCTCATGCTGACCTCAGCTCCTTTCCTGTGTGACTGGGTGGGCCACGGCCCTCTGAGCCTCCATTTCTCCATCTGTGAAATGGAGGCCGTGGAAGGAGGCTTTGGAGTCTAGGACTACCTTCTCCTCTGTCCATGGGAGGCTGGCTGCATCTGCCCATTGTCCAGATGAAGAAACTGAGGCTTGAAACTCAAGGCCATCCAAAAGCAAGGGCCTGAGGAGGTGTGGAAGCCCAGGGCTTCCTGATGCTCTCCCCCACCCCATCTCATCCCAGCCTTTTTCACGTTGCCCCTCCGCACAGACCCTGAGCAGCTTCTTGGGGTTCCTGCCTGGCTTCAGTTCTGCTCGGAACCTGGTGGCCAATGCCCAAGGCCCAGCGAGAGAGGTCCAGCCAGTCACTGATCCCTCAGGTGCTACCACCCCCCAAGCCACCCATCCCCAGGCCCAGGGTGAGTGCACAGGTTCATAGGGTGGGGCTCCTGGAGGGGGACCCAGCAATAGGAAATCTTCTAGTAGGGACTTTTGGCCACTTTGGGGACATTTTATATGGGACTGGCATTGCTCATTTAGTACCAGATGGAGAAACTGAGGCACAAATATGGCAAGTGTGTGGCCCAAAGTAGCATAAACAGCCAAAGTGGGGGTGTGAACACAGCCCGTCTCACTGCAGTACCGCCCCTGTCCACCCCCCAGCCCCCATCAGCCCGTGTGCAACACCCGTGCACCAGAGGCTGGGTGTTCCGCAGGTGTGAACTTACTGCGGATGGTGACCCTGGTTCCCAAAGAGGGACAGTGGCTTCCCTGGGGTGGTGGAGCCTGGGGGTCTCCCCACCCCCCAGTTATTCAGCCAGAGTACTTTGGACACAAAGAGGGGCTGGTGCAGGGGGCAGGCCAGGGTTGGGGTGGCTGCCTGGTAAGGGCCTGCTCCTGCGCCCAGAGCCCTTGGTGGCTGACTTCTGCTCCACATACCCAGGTCTGACAGGCAACTGCCAGCTGTGGCAGGGGTGGGGTGGGGCTCTGACTCTTCCTGTGGCCTCCCTGGGTGGGCCTCCCACACCCTGGACCCAGGCAGAGAAAACACTAGAGAGCCCCTGTTCCAGGAAACAAAGGCCCTGGGTGGGGGGGTCAAAGGGAGCCCAGCCCATGGCCATGGATGTCAACTCCTGTTGTCCCTGGCACAGTGGCTGGGACATTCCTGACCTTTCGGGCTGTGCCTGTCAATTGCACAACAGGCACCAGGGTGGCTGATGCCAGCTTGCTTCCCTTGCCTTCCTGTGAGTGCCTGACCAGCTCCTGTCCCCATAGCAGCTACCAGTCCGAAGCAGATGGCAAGGGAGGTGGAGATGCCGCTGCCGCCTTCAGACAAGGTGAGAGGTGCTGCCAGAGCCTGGTGTGATGGCCTCTGCCTCCCTCGGGGATGTTTGGGTTCCTACTGAAGGAGAGAGCGGACACCCCCGCGTGTCCTACTATGTGGTTCCAGGCAGATCCTTCTCCTCTGAGCCTCTACTTCCACATCTGTGAAATGGGCACAGTACTGCCTCACTGCCCAGCATGGTCAGGCTCCAGACTACTGAGAGCCCCTCTGTCTAGCATGACGTGACCCCAGCAACAGCACCTCACTCACCACGCTAGGCTCTGGACACCATGCTTTATATGTGCTCCTTAATAGTTAATCCTCCCAACCAGCCTGTGAGGAAGGGAGTAAATAGTACCCCACACGATAGCTGAGACACAGAGAAGCCGAGCCACCTGCCAAAGGTCACACAGCAGGACATGGTAACTTGAGCTTTGAACCTAGGGCAGAGGCTAAAATGCACCAATGTAGCCTTCACCCTCCGTCCTGAATACATGGCGACCGCACACTATCCTGTCCCCATGGCTGGGCCAAGCGAAGGGGCTCATGTATGCCAGGTGCAGCCACAGCAGGGTGGCAGAAGCCCGACAGGAGCTCCTCTGCTCTTCCCAGCCTCCCTCTGCCCCCAGTTCGACCAGGTCTTAGCATCTCACAGGGTGAGGAGCCTCAGCAGGTCCTTCCAGCCCAAACTGACAGATTCCTTACCCCCCTCCCTTTATGCATGTTTTCTGCTCCCCTCCACTCATGTTAACTGAGCACCTACTACCTGCAAAGTGCTTTAGGTACCTTGTGACTTGCTTCCTCCCCAATCCTTGAAAGAGGTGCTGTTTTAACCACCACTTCTCAGAAACTGGCTCAGAAAGGGGATGTGACTTTCACACAGTGAGTATGGAGACGAGGTGAGATTTGAACCTGGATCTCTTTAGGCACAGAGCCCGAGGTTTCCACTCGATCCAATGCTGGGCCAGGAGGCAGGCAGTGGGAATAAAACTTCAGTTTCTCAGCGTCAGCATGGTGGCCATCTGGGCAGGACTGTTTTTGGTTGGGAGGCGCTCCTGAACATGGTGGGGTTTGTACAGCATCTGAGGCCCCCACCCATTCAATGCAAATAGCACCCCCCAACAGTCACACAATCACAGATAGCCCCAGATTTCCCCCAGCGTCCCCATTCCCGGGGTGTGGGGAGCAGGGTCACCCCTCCTAAGAATCACTGAAGTGAAAACAGCACACTCGCGGCTGCCTGAGTGGTAGCAACCCTGGGCCATTACAACCCTTGGGCAGTTTGGCTGAACTAAGGACAACCACCACTGGGTAGCTTAAAAAATAGTTATTGCCCTGGCTGGTGTGGCTCAGTGCACTGAGCACCAGCCTGTGAACCAAAGGGTCACTGGTTCGATTCCCAGTCAGGGCACATGCCTGGCTGCGGGCCAGGTCCCCAGTTGTGGGTACATGAGAGGCAACTACACATTGTTCCTCTCCCTCTTTCTCCCTTCCTTCCCCTCTGTCTAAAAATAAGTAAAATCTTAAAAATAAATGAGCAAATAAATAAAGTTACTGACAACCCCCTATGGCTCGAACCCAGCACCTGTCCCTCTGCGTTTTGTTTGCTACTTTTCCCAACGCTCACCCCCTTCTCCTGGTTGGACACTCACTTTAACAAGCACTCTGATCTCCTCACTACAACAGGGCACACCAGGTTCAAATTCTGCCAAGAGTGAGCAAAAATAGCTAATTCAAAGGCTTGCTGACCACAGGCCGAAGCACCTCATCAGGGGTTCAAAGGTGTGAGGGGCCCGCTGTCGGCCATGGGGCCTAGTGAATCCAGGCAGTAAAAGCTGACAGCACCAGGGAGCTTGTTAAGGCCAAGTGACGGAAAACCACAGGGACATCCGGGGCGGGCAGCGAGGTCGTGGGCCTCTGGGTGACGGATTCCACTCACAAGGCGCTTCAGCAGGCAGGCTGGCAGAAGTCTGGGATGGGAAGCTCCTCCCAGCTCTGCTCCTGACCACGTGTCCTTTCTCACCAGATGATCTCCGGGGCGAAGGACCTGGTGTGCTCCACGATGACCAAAACCCAGGATGCCGTCTCCTCCGGGGTGGCCAACATGATGGACTCGGCTAAAGATGTGGTCCAGGGAGGACTGGCCATGACCCGACCTGTGCTCACAGGAACCAAGGAAGCTGTGGCCAGTGCAGTCACGGGAGCAGTAGGTGTGGCCAAGGGCGCCGTCCACACGGGTGTGGACACCACCAAGACCGTCCTCACTGGCACCAAGGACACAGTGTCCACTGGCCTCACTGGGGCAATGGGTGTGGCCAAGGGCGCCGTTCAGACAGGTGTGGACACCACCAAGACTGTCCTCACAGGTGCCAAGGACACAGTGTCCACTGGCCTCACTGGGGCAATGGGAGTGGCCAAGGGCGTTGTCCAGACTGGTATGGACACCACCAAGACCGTCCTCACTGGCACCAAGGACACAGTGTCCACTGGCCTCACTGGGGCAATGGGTGTGGCCAAGGGCGTTGTCCAGACTGGTGTGGACACCACCAAGACCGTCCTCACTGGCACCAAGGACACAGTGTCCACTGGCCTCACTGGGGCAATGGGAGTGGCCAAGGGCGCTGTCCAGACTGGTATGGACACCACCAAGACCGTCCTCACTGGCACCAAGGACACAGTGTCCACTGGCCTCACTGGGGCAATGGGAGTGGCCAAGGGCGTTGTCCAGACTGGCGTATGGACACCACCAAGACCGTCCTCACTGGCACCAAGGACACAGTGTCCACTGGCCTCACTGGGGCAATGGGTGTGGCCAAGGGCGCTGTCCAGACTGGCGTGGACACCACCAAGACTGTCCTCACAGGTGCCAAGGACACAGTGTCCACTGGCCTCACTGGGGCAATGGGTATGGCCAAGGGCGCTGTCCAGACTGGTATGGACACCACCAAGACCGTCCTCACTGGCACCAAGGACACAGTGTCCACTGGCCTCACTGGGGCAATGGGTATGGCCAAGGGCGCTGTCCAGACTGGCGTGGACACCACCAAGACCGTCCTCACTGGCACCAAGGACACAGTGTCCACTGGCCTCACTGGGGCAATGGGTGTGGCCAAGGGCGCTGTCCAGACTGGCGTGGACACCACCAAGACCGTCCTCACAGGCGCCAAGGACACAGTGTCCACTGGCCTAACTGGGGCAATGGGTGTGGCCAAGGGCGCTGTCCAGACTGGCGTGGACACCACCAAGACTGTCCTCACAGTGGCCCAAGGACACAGTGTCCACTGGCCTCACTGGGGCAATGGGTGTGGCCAAGGGCGCCGTCCAGACTGGCGTGGACACCACCAAGACTGTTCTCACTGGCGCCAAGGACACAGTGTCCACTGGCCTCACTGGGGCAATGGGTGTGGCCAAGGGCGCTGTCCAGACTGGTATGGACACCACCAAGACCGTCCTCACTGGCACCAAGGACACAGTGTCCACTGGCCTCACTGGGGCAATGGGTGTGGCCAAGGGCGCTGTCCAGACTGGCGTGGACACCACCAAGACCGTCCTCACTGGCACCAAGGACACAGTGTCCACTGGCCTCACTGGGGCAATGGGTGTGGCCAAGGGCGCTGTCCAGACTGGCGTGGACACCACCAAGACCGTCCTCACAGGTGCCAAGGACACGGTGTCCACTGGCCTCACTGGGGCCATGGGTGTGGCCAAGGGCGCCGTCCAGACTGGCATGGACACCACCAAGACCGTTCTCACTGGCACCAAGGACACAGTGTCCACTGGCCTCACTGGGGCAATGGGTGTGGCCAAGGGCGCTGTCCAGACTGGTATGGACACCACCAAGACCGTCCTCACTGGCACCAAGGACACAGTGTCCACTGGCCTCACTGGGGCAATGGGAGTGGCCAAGGGCGCTGTCCAGACTGGTATGGACACCACCAAGACTGTCCTCACAGGTGCCAAAGACACGGTGTCCACTGGCCTCACTGGGGCAATGGGTGTGGCCAAGGGCGTTGTCCAGACTGGTATGGACACGACCAAGACCGTCCTCACAGGTGCCAAGGACACGGTGTCCACTGGCCTTACTGGGGCAATGGGTGTGGCCAAGGGCACCATCCAGACTGGCGTGGACACCACCAAGACCGTCCTCGCTGGCACCAAGGACACAGTGTCCACTGGCCTCACTGGGGCAATGGGTGTGGCCAAGGGCGCTGTCCAGACTGGTATGGACACCACCAAGACCGTCCTCACTGGCACCAAGGACACAGTGTCCACTGGCCTCACTGGGGCAATGGGAGTGGCCAAGGGCGCTGTCCAGACTGGTATGGACACCACCAAGACCGTCCTCACTGGCACCAAGGACACAGTGTCCACTGGCCTCACTGGGGCAATGGGTGTGGCCAAGGGCGCCGTCCAGACTGGTATGGACACCACCAAGACCGTCCTCACTGGCACCAAGGACACAGTGTCCACTGGCCTCACTGGGGCCATGGGTGTGGCCAAGGGCGCCGTCCAGACTGGCGTGGACACCACCAAGACCGTTCTCACTGGCACCAAGGACACAGTGTCCACTGGCCTCACTGGGGCAATGGGTGTGGCCAAGGGCGCTGTCCAGACTGGTATGGACACCACCAAGACTGTCCTCACTGGAACCAAGGACACAGTGTCCACTGGCCTCACTGGGGCAATGGGTGTGGCCAAGGGCACCGTCCAGACTGGTATGGACGCCACCAAGACCGTCCTCACAGGTGCCAAGGACACGGTGTCCTCTGGCCTCACTGGGGCAATGGGTGTGGCCAAGGGCGCTGTCCAGACTGGTGTGGACACCACCAAGACCGTCCTCACAGGTGCCAAAGACACAGTGTCCACTGGCCTCACTGGGGCCATAGGTATGGCCAAGGGCACCATCCAGACTGGCGTGGACACCACCAAGACTGTCCTCGCTGGCACCAAGGACACAGTGTCCACTGGCCTCACTGGGGCAATGGGTGTGGCCAAGGGCGCTGTCCAGACAGGCGTGGACACCACCAAGACCGTCCTCACAGGTGCCAAGGACACAGTGTCCACTGGCCTCACTGGGGCAATGGGTGTGGCCAAGGGCATTGTCCAGACTGGTATGGACACCACCAAGACCATCCTCACTGGCACCAAAGATGCAGTGTCCACTGGCCTCTCTGGGGCAATGGGTGTGGCCAAGAGCGCCGTCCCGACTGGGGCTGGCACTGTACAGAATTGGTTACCTGGCACTGAGGAAAGCTCCTATAGTGGATTCATCAACAGCAGGGACTTGGACAAATGTGGGGAAGAAAATATCCTGAGCCCCAAGGAAGCTCAGTCTTGCAGGGTCTCCAGCCTCCCAGACACTCCATGTGCAGGCCGGGACCTTGCCAGAGAAGCCACCACTGACGGCCATGGCCTTGTTTCTACTGTAGTAACATTCACACAAGGCGCGAGCCTGAGCAAGGAAAATGCTGGGTGTATAGCTACTGCATGCAGCCATGAAGGTGTTACGGGCTTTACGACACTTTCGGATGAGCTGGAGGAGCTGGGGGAGATCTTCCACCCTATGAATGCGGAGGAGCAAGGTGAGAATAAGGTGGGCTGGGTCCCCGGTCCTAGTGAGGGGTTATCATCTGGCCAATCCATGATTGGGATGGCCCTTCAACCTCTCCATCCGAGTCATTGCATCTTCCCTTGCAGCTCAGTTGGCGGCCTCTGGGTCTGAGCCCAGAGTACCTGCAGGAGACCAGAGGAGCTACTTTGTGCGTCTCGGTGACCTGGCCCACGGCTTTCGCCAGCGAGCCTTTGAGCACGCCATGAGCCACCTGCAGCATGGCCAGTTCCAGGCCAGAGCCACGCTGGCCCTGCTTGAGGACTCCTTCAATATGGCAAGTGTCCTTCCCTGTAATGGGGCCCCTTCCTCAAAATATATCCCCATGGCTTTCCCACAGACATGCAGTGATCCAACATCTGTCAGCCACTAAGATGACCACACACTGCTCTCAAGGGGCTTGTGTCCCACAGAGCGAGACAACCAAATGAGACAGACCATTCCCCACCCCCCAATCTGGGGGAAATACATTCCAAGACCCACTGTAGACACCTGACATCACAGAGTACCAAATCCTACAAATACTATGTTTTTTTCTACACATACATACCTATGATAAAGTTTAGTTTACAATTTATTTAGGCACAGTAAAAGGTTAACAGTAATAGTAAATTACTGTTCTATAAGTAGAACAACTTATGCTATAATAAAAACAACATTAATGTGGCATTAAAATAAGGGTCACTTGCCCTGGTGGTGTGGCTCAGTGGATTGAGCTCTGGCCCATGAAGCAAAGGGTCACGGGCACATGCCTGGGTTGCAGGCCAGGTCCCCAGTAGGGGGCGCACAAGAGGCAACCACACATCAATGTTTCTGTCCCTCTCTTTCTCCCTTCCCCTCTAAAAATAAATCTCAAAAAAAAAAAAAAAAAGGGTGACTTAAACATGAGCCCTGTGGTACCCCCAGCTGACAGCTGAGATGCCTCCTGTGTGCCTCAAAGGCGGTGGGGCATCTGCAGCTTGGATACAGTGGACAAGGTGATGAGTCCTGCCCCAGGTGGGACAGAGCAAGGCCATGTGAGATTTCATCACACTACTCAGAACAATGGGCTACTTAAGAATTACGCAGTTTATTTCTGGAATTTTCCATTTAATATTTTCGGATGGTGGCTGACCTTGGGAATGGAAACTGTGGAAGGTAAAATGGAGAGAAGGGGGGAAAGTGCTACACCTCCAGAAAATGGGGGTGCAAAGGAGGAGCCAAGACAACCATGCATAGAGGGCCTGGGCCGGGCAGGAGCACGTCCCTTTGAGCCACACTGTGTATGACAAGGAGAGCCATGCAGAACTGGGGAGAAGTGGGGACCATCAGAACAGAGTGCCCAGCCCTGGCCGGGCAGCTCAGTCAATTAAAGTATTGCTCTGATACAGCAAGGATGCAAGTTTGACACCTAATCAGGGTACATAATCAATAAATGAATGCATAAATGGGTAAAACAACAAATTAATGTTTCTCTCTAAAAAAAGTGTGCTCAATAACAAGCTGGATGTTCATGGGGCAGGAGGGCACCCAGGGAGGACATGGTGAAGTGAGGGTGGGGACAGGGTAGCAGGAGCCGAGGGATCTCGGGATCAGTGATGTGCAGAGATCATGACCAGGTGCCAATAGGACAGAAGGTCTCAGAGGCCCAAGGGGCAGACCACACCAACCACGGTGGTTTTGGTCTTATCCAACAGGCACCGGGGAACCACGGGAGGGCTTTGAGCTGGGGAGTGACAAGATCCCATTATCCGTTATTTGATCTGAGGACCTCATGAGAAATTTGGATTACTGCCACTTTACAAGAGAAGACAAGCCCATCATGGCACAGTTGGCTCTAAGCTTGTGGCCTTGCAACCACGCCACACAAAGGTCTGGACACTAGGCTCCTGGCCCCTCATGCCGCTCCTGGGGCAAAGTGTGTGAAAGGGCCCTGCCGAAAGCCATCGTTTCTCTGCTGGGCTCTTTCCAGATTGAAAAGGCCAAGCAGGCTCCAGAAGGACAGCTGTGGCCAGATCCAGGTCCAAGAGACAGAGTGGAGAAAGCCGGTACCCAAGAGGAGGTTATGTATGAGGGGCCAATGCTCCCAGAATCTTCTCTCTGACCACTATGCACACCTCTCCCTCCCACAGGGGCCAGATTCAGAGGCTCTGTCCAGAACCTGTGGACTCATGCAGCAGCTCCACGTGGCCTACAGCACCCTGGCCTCTGGCCTCCAGGGTCTTCCAGCTGAGCTCCAGCAGCAGGTGAGACAAGCACGGCACAGCCTCTGTGAGCTCTACGGCATCGTGTCCTCTGCCAGCTCCATCACAGAGCTGCCAGCTGAGCGCCTGGCCCAGAGCCGTGAGAGTGTAGGCCGGGCCTGGCAAGGGCTGGAGAAGCTGCTGGAGAGTGTGCAGCACAGCCCCCCACTCAGCTGGCTGGTGGGGCCCTTTGACCTGCACCCTGGTGGGCAGCAGCTATAGGCCCCCTTCAGAGCCTCCCCAATCCCAAACCAGCCCCAACTCCCCAAGCACTAGACACTGCTGGCTGGTGCACGGAGGACTTTCTGCAATAGATGCGCCAAGCTCCCAGCTCTGAGATTGTGCCATCCATCTTCCCAAGCTCGGCCGGACCTAGGAGCCCAGAGCAACTAAGACCACTGACAGAGGGCCTGCACTTGAAGATCCTGAGCAAGCCCTCCAGTTAAGAAAGAGAAGTGGAATGTGCCTGAGTCTGGAAGATTCTCCACTCAGCACCCCACACTAGGAGCCCCATTACCTTTGCAGGGGACATGGGTCTTCCACCCTCATCTGGGCCTTCAGCTACCAGCTCAGCGGGCTGTCCCGCTCCTCCACCCTGACTCTAAAGCATCTCCCCTAGCCCTCAGCAAACACCCTGCACCAGAATGCACCAGAATGTCACCATCATCCAGAGGCAGGGTTTTGGTGCCTCTGCTAACCCCAGCATGGCTAAAAGAGGAGGCTTCTTGAGGACAAAGCCACCAGCAGCAACTCCCTCAACTCCAGGCTCTGCAGGGCCGTTCCTTGAGGACTACATTACCCAGGGGCGAGAAAAGTGGTTACATGTCAAGCCCCTTCTGCCTCTTCCGCTCACCCACCTGCCCTGCCCTGTAAGCCACTCACATGATTAGAGAGCTGAGGTTCTGGTCTCTGAGGCACCTGGGCCCAGAGGCTGCCCATGGCTGAAGTACTTTCCCCACTGGGGACAGGGCCCAAGGAAGGATGTGACCAAATGTGCTGAATGACCCCCCAGGTCTTGGGGAGGTACTCCAGGTTGGAGACTAGGGCCTGACATGGTTTAGAAGGTCCCTGCCTTCCCGGCTGCAGGGGTCCAAGTCTACTGCCCCTGAACCCGAATGTGAAAACTTACCATATTCATCCAAGAAAGGTTCCCTCACCAGCCTTGGCCTCTCTCCAGCTGGGAGCTGCATGTCAGAGCAGCAGCAGCCCACCCAAGCCGTGCTGAGCTCCCCTCCTCAGAACTCACCGCACACCAACAGCACACCCCACACTGCACCCTCTTCTCGGAAATGACCGGGCGCTCGGAGCACCAGGTCAGAGGGGCCGGCTCTCGTCAAGGGTTACCAAAGGTGTCCAGGGTCTTCCCTGGGGACTGGAGAACCTTCTGAGCCTCTCTCTCCTCAGCCTCTACCACATTAGGTAATCAAAGGTGAAGACACCGGGAGCCACAGAAACCTGGCGAAGTGACTGGCCTTCAAGTCCAGTCACACCAGTGCGGGTAGGTGTGGAAGTGGACAGGACTCAGAAGTCCCCTGCCACACCACGGTCTCCCTCCCTCTCAGCTGGGATGGATGAAGGCAGCCAGGGGCCACTGCCTAACCGGGAACTGCTGTGCGCGGGTACCTGGCCGAGCTAGCCCCACCCCCCACCTGAATCCTCGGCACAGTCCTGTAAGGCTGGAGTCAGCCCTGTCCAGGGGAAAAGAGAAGCCCGGAGCGGGAGTGCCACTCGCCCTCGGTCACACAGTGAGGCCTACCCCCAGTGCTCATGTCCTCTGGACGCGTAAAGACAATGGATGGCTCAGAGAACGCTTCCAGGCCTGAATGCTCCAGGCCAGGGACTCCGGGGCTTGCCTTGTGGAGAATGGGTTACAGTGCCAACTGCAGCTTGGGGGACACCGACAGCAGCTTGAGGCAAGAGGGACAGCGGCTGCATCAGGTGGGCACAGCAGTGGCTTCTGGGGAAAACATGGTGGCCACTCAGCCTCTTCTCCTTCTTCCTGCGCACTGGGAAGCCAAACCCGGGACATCAAACCACAGCCTCTGTTTGAGCCTCAAAGTTCAGAGAGTTTTATTTTTCCTTTATTGTTTTTGGAAAAGCCTCGTTCCTATCCCACTGTTTCACCGTCAGCCCTAGCAGGATGGGAACACTGTTAAAACCAAACTCACATTCACTGTATATGGTGATACTATGGCTTAGAACACTTTGTCCCCAAGTGGGCCCTTGATCGCTCCAGATCTCTTCCCAATTCCAGCCCAGCTACACCAGCTACACCAGTAACACTAGAAAACCAAGCCAATAAAAGTGATTTTTTTTCATTAAAAAAACCCTTTATAGTCATTTCATGTCGGTTGGAAATCACAGAAATTGGGCAGAAAAAAAACCCAGAGGGACAAATACAAATGAAGAGCACAGCATCTCCCCAACAGTCTCCTGCTCCCTGGGCGGCCGGGAAGGAATGGGGCAGGCCTACAGGCAGCTACGTGACGGGCGGGGCCTGGCCGCCGGGCTGCCCGGGGCTCAGCTGTCCTCGTCGTCCAGGGACTCAGAGTCCACGCGCGCCCTCGGGCGCTCCTGCCGGTCCTTCCCAGGCCCGTCCAGATCGGGGCCCTCCCTTGCACTGCTGGTGAAGCACAGCACGGTGGGGTGAGCAGGCCGCCTTCCTGTCTGCCCGCCTGTCTCCATCCAGCAGCCACAGACTGAAAGCCCTAGCCTCCCCCCGCCATGCCCAGGGCAGTGGGTGTGCACTGAGTGGTCTGGGGTCTTTAACACGACCACACACCAGACTCGAGGGTGCTTGTGGCAGAGCCTGCCTGCTCCACTCCTGGAGAGCCAGGAGGGAACCGCCGTCCATAGGGTCTGACCTAGGGCAGCTCAGCTCCCAACTGGGGGCCTTGGGGTCTGCTAAGGTGGGGACAGGAGGCCTACACATGGAGGCCGAGTCCCTGGAACCCTGACCAGCACCAGCTGCCCACTGGGAACAACTCAAGACAGCAGCTGCTTTCTCTGCCAGTCTCGTCACCCCCTTGTAGAAAGTAGCCCCCAGTGCTACAGACCCCGGGGACACTTACTCATTGTGTAACAGGTCTTCTGAGGAGCCCCCCACCGGCCCCTCTTCCGAGTTCTGTCCTTCCTCCTGCTCCTTGTCCTCTGTGCTTCCACCCTTCTGGGATGTGGCCTCCCCATTCACGGAGGCAGAGAGATCTAGGGGCGTGGAGGAGGGGTGGAAGGGCACTGTGGGACATTGCAGTGCGATCACCCAAGACCCCCCTCCCCTTCCATAGAGAGTGGGTGGGAAAGCAAGCCAGCTTGGGGACAGAGGATCTGTGAGCCTCCTGAAGGGCCCTGGCCCCGTGCTCCTGTGGTCACTTCTATCTCCCTGCCTCCCAGTCACACGGGGACTGTCAGCCCCAGCAGGCCAGCCTGGGCCCCTGAAGAAGGGAAGGGACACTCAGTCAATGTGTGTCTGAGGATGGGACGGAAGTAAGGAGAAAGATAACCTCTGGGCTACTCCTTGGGCTGCTAAGGCTTTTTCAGCCAAGCCAACCTGACGTCAGTGGGAAGGGCTGCTCCAAACATCTGTCATCGGGACCAGGTGACCCCAGCATGAACACCCTCTCCCACTCCCAGAGGCTGTCCCTGCTGGAAATGGCCTCTTTCTCCTCTCAGCTCACCCACAATCCTGCAGGTCCAGGCTGAGGCTGGCGCCTCCCAGGAGTGCTCACACATACCTGGCCAGCACACACACACAGTCTCCTACACTAGCTGGCTCTGAGGGTCCAGAGCCCGGCAGCAGCCTTGGTGTATGCGTGTAGTAGCCATCGACTGCTTTGGGGTCACACCCGGGCCTGTGCAGAGAGCACCAGCGGGCACACCACCAAGTCAGTGGGGGAGGAGCCCACCCGGCTCCTCACCAGCACTGGTCTCATCCTCTGCCCTCTCCGACGGGGCCTCCTCTCCAACCAGAGCCTCCTCGGCCTTCTCCACCTCAGCCTGCTCCTTCTCTGCTCCGGTTCTGGCTGCCTTCTGGATAGCCTCGATCTTTGGTCCCAGGACCCGTGACTTGAGCCTGGTGTAGACTTCCGCGGCCTTCTCCATTACTTCCTTGTTGGCCTTGTAACGGCGAATCTGCATACCAAGAGGCCTGGCTCAGAAAATGCAGCTGGCCTCACGCCCCTCACCCGAGACCTTCCGTATTGCTGCCGCCACCTCAGCTTCCTTGGAACCTGGCAGTGCTCAGCCAGTCCACCGGCTTTCTCCCCACTGACCAAAAGCCCCTGTGGCCAGGAACACTGGTTCCCTGGCAGACCCCTGCCTGCTTGGACCCACCTGACCCACCCCCCTTCCACCCCGGGCTCCCACTGTACCTTTTTCAACGTGGCCACCACATCAGTGTTCTTCTGGAGAATATGCGAGGTCACCTGCAGGGTCCCAAGCTCCTCTAGTGCATTCAAACACCTCTTCACATCCTGCAGAGCAGAAAAGAAAGGAGAAGGGACAGCACTTAGAAGACCCAGTGGGTCAGAGAAGGTCACCCTGGAACTTCCCCTGCGGGGAGTGCTTAGTGCAGAGGAACCCCAGGGACAGCAGGAAGACCCCGAACTTGGAGGATCCTTGGGGCCTGCCCACAGCGCCACCTGGTGAGGACGCCAAGCACACTTCACCTCGGGATGGCCCTCAGCTGGGGGAGAGACGCACATAAGGATCCCTACCCCAACCACCCCAAGGGACCCTGGAGTCGCCTCCATTTCTGGAGACTTCTAAGGGAGCTGTGGACATGGTGGGGTGGCAGAAACTGCTTCACTCAGGGCAAGTGGCTCCCCGGGGCCCCAAGGAGGGTCTTACCGGGTTATCAACTTTTAGGGCGTACTTGATTTCGCTGTGCAGCTTCTGAAGCTTCTCCTCCACGGAAGGTTCTGTGGCCGGGAGAGAACGCATCGCCTGGGCCTCAGCCGCCATGCCAGACGTGGCCGAGAACCTGCCTGAGCACTGCCGTGGCGACAGATGCAACCCTCCCTCCTCCCGACTTCAGCAACCTCGGGCAGCGAGAGCTTGGGCTGCGACCAGGACAGCCAGTCCCTCACCTTTCTTCTTCTCCACCTTCCTGTCCGGCAGGAACCCTTCTGATCGCTTCCGGGTTCGTTCCACCTTCATGGGCCTGTGAAGACTCATTCCCCTCAGGCCTCTGACCGATACCCACGAGGCCGCCCTGCCCCAACCAACATCCTCCCCACCAAGGGCTGGGACTATAGGAAAGGTAGGAGCCTGGGACAAATCACGTGAAAGCTCAAAATTATTATTTTTTTATGTGGCTGAGGATTAACAGCTAGTATGTAAAACCCAGTGGATGAGTTATTAATAGACATTCATAGATGACAGCAACACTCATCAACAGTTCCAGTTCTACTCTACTGGGCAGTCTGCCTGCCAAGTTCCCAGTGGGCAGATTCCAACTGATGGTGGAACATCACTTACAAATGGCAGGGGGCCCTGGCCGGGTGGCTCAGTTGGTTAGAGCGTCATCCCAATACACCAAAGCGTGGGTTCAATTCCCGGTCAGGGTACATACAAGAATCAATAAATAAGTGTATAAATAAGTGAAACCACAAATCAATGTTTCTCTTTCTCTCATAAATTAATAAAAAAAAGTTTTTTTAATGGCAGAGATGTGCCACCCCCACACCTTGGTGGGCAGTAGATTTAAAAAGCCCAAGGACCCCTGGTCTGGGGACAATTCCCCACTTTGGCACTGACACTGGGGCTGGGCCATTCCCTGTGGGGGGCCATCCCGGGCACCGTGGGGTGAGGGGCAGCAGCCTGGCCCCACCCACTCAGTGTCGGAAGCACCCAGTCAAGGACCACAATCCTGCACAGGAGACACTTCAACTAGGTCTGTCTACCAAACTAAATTGGGAAGCTGGGCCGCTCCTGAGAGAAGAGGTTCCCCAGAAGGGCGACGACCTTGAGGACCGAGACGGCTTCGGGAAGTGTGGAGGGACAGGCAGAGAGCGCTGACCTGGCCCGGGGCTTCTCCTCAAGGCGCCCTCTCTTCTCCTTCTGGCTGGGTCTCTTCACAGGCTCTGTGCTTTGTGGCTGCTTCTTAGCCGACTTCTTCACCTGCAGCAGCAAAGCAGGGGTGGGAGAGGCTCGCCCTGAACTCCTGAACGGCCCCTCTTAGAAATAAAGCACGACACTTCCTGCCACGGCCTCCACTGCTCGGAGCTGGTGGGATGGACAGGGCGGGACGGGAAGACCCCTGGGACCAGTCCATCCCCAGAGAGCAGATGCTCAACCTCTCAAAGGGCCACCCGCCAGCGCGGCAGCCCACCATACTCCTCCTTCCAAGCAGGACACTTCCTGAGGGAAGGAACTTGGTTCCCCTTTTGGGACGAAAAGGAGAGTGGCTGGGAGAACAGGGGTCGTCGGGCTTCCCCCACCCCCATGTCGAGCAGGACCCTGGGCTCAGTCTAGAATGTGCCGGGCCTGGGAAGTTGGCCTCTCAGATTCAGGCCAGACTGCGAGTGGGAGGGGACCGGCCCACACCATCACATGTTGCCTGGTGGTCACCACCGCCCCCGCTGGCAGAAATGGACCTGCCCATTGGCAGAAGCCTCCTCAGTCACCCCCATTTCCCCCCACCCTCCACGAGGCGCCTGTGACCCCACCAGCCTGGGCACACCTCTCTGTCCAGCTCAGCCTCGGGCTCCGAGTCAGAGGAGGACTGGGGACCCCGTCCCCGACCCTTGCGGCCGCGCTGCTTCCTGACGGGCTCTTCCTCATCCCTGAGCTCATCGCCGCTGCTGCCCCCACTGCCCCCGTGGAGGGCCTCCCCGCGCTCGGCCCGCTCGCGCCTCCTCTCCTTCTCCTCCTTCTCCTGCTCCCGCAGCCGCCGCAGCTCCTCCTCCTGCTCCCGGCGCCGCCGGGCCTCCAGCTCTCGGCGGCGTTCCTCATCTCGGCGCTTCCACTCGCTGATTCGGTCTACCTCCTCACTGTCACTGGAGGTGTGGGCCAATTAGACGGAAGCCTGGTCCCCACGAGGAGCTGCCTCCGACCCACCCGCAGCCTGGCTGAGGACCCTGCCAGAGGCGACCCGGGGCTGTCACCCACCTGTCACTGCTTGAGCTGCTCGGGGGTCGTTCGGGCTTCAATTTCCGCCCGCGGGGTTTTGGGGGAGGCTTCTCAGCTATGAAAAAGGAGGAGGGGG